TATATTATAATTTAATTTAAGTTTAATAATAAAACAATTTATTTTTGGTTTAATATTATAAATTTTACAAAAATAATAATTAAGTATTCTGTTAGAATTTAATGATTATACTAATTATATTTTAGATTTTTATATTTAAAATGAGATGTTTATCCTGTATTTGATTGTGTTTATCTACAGTTAGTTACATGAATTCAGATATGGGATGAAATCGGATAGGAATGAAATCGTTTAGGGATGAACAGGTTTAAGAGTTTTTAAGAGTTTTAGCCAAATGTTTTATAAGATAGTATAGATATAACCCCTGAATTGTTAAAAGTTGAAAGAAATCTTGTTTGATAATTTTTTTTTGTATCTTAATGGTTCTAAAACATTTTGAATGATTTTGTATCATAGGTCTCCCTTAACCTTTCAGCACCCTAATTCAATTGTAAATAATTACCGAACAATTATATTTCATTTTATACTATATCATGAGAGTCTCTTAATCATTTTGACCACTTAATTTCTCTGCACCAAACCATTCAGTAATTGCAAACAACCCCTAAAACTTTTTTATTGAGAACCAAAAAAAATTATAAAAACTTTTAAAAATAATGATCATATGCGATTTCGTATGATTTTTTTCCATATAAAACTATGATTTTTAATATTGATAAATATATATATATATATATATATTTGTTTCACATGTATTTATTTCATAATATTTAATCTTTTAAATCTGTTTGTCCAACAAAAAATACCCATAATTTTTTTTTATAGTGTGAATTGGATACATATGAAGTAAACATAGTGTGAAACAAATATACATTTATTAAATACATTTAATGTTAGTCTTAAATGATAAAAAACTATATCAAACAATATTTCAAGATAAAAATTCGTACAATATATTATAATATATTAATTATACCGTACGATATAATTAATTTTTTAAAAATATTATTAGAATATTATATGTGTCGTCAATAACACTCCATGAACATAATTTCAACGATTGTTTATTTCTATCTATATCATTCTGGAACTTTCAAATTAAGAAGTGTTTTCAAATAAAGATGTCATAAAATATACAATTTTACTCAACAATTATTTTCATTAAAAATAATTTGACACATTCAACAAAAACGTTCAAATAGTTTTAAATAAAACATAGGATAAATCAAATAGTAAAGATTTAGAGGGTGTTTGGGATTGATTATTTGCAACGAAAACTTATGTTTTTCTACCAAAGTGTTTATCAATTTATTATAAGTTAGAATGGTTTAACTTTTTAAAAAAAAATTTATTACCAGTTTGACACAGGCTTATTGTTTATCTAAATACTCAAAAATGCTTATTATCAATGATCCACGAAAATAAGTCAATAAGTTGTTTTTATAAGCAATCCCAAACATCTCAAATTGATGGAAGCATAAATTCAAAAATTAAAAGAACATATACAACTAAAATTACTGGAGCATGAATCGTGAATCACAAAGCATATAAGATTTCAATGACTATTGGATTGAAGCAAAAAAACCCTAAACTACGATACCTATTTCATCGGTAATCATATATATGTATTTGTACAACTCTAAATCTAGACTATTAAACCCTAAAATGAAAATCAAAATCGAGAAGAAACTAATCTAAGTAATCGAAATATGAAATTTAAGAAATCAGAATAACAAGAGAAATTATAGAATAATGTAAACAAACTCAATTAGCTTTTCCAGTATTAGGAAAGATTTTAAAAAACGAATCAATATCAGGCGAAGTGAAAAACTCCCTGTTTCCATTATTGTGACACGTAGACACCGGCCGGCGTTTCCTCGGCGGCGGCGGACACGGCAATACTTCCGGTATCCTCGATTGATTCGACGTCGGAGTTGTTGAACCGGAGTTGGACGTTTCATCATCTTCTTCATTAGAAATTTTGGTAGATATAGGTTTCAGAGGAGCACGTAAGGTGATTCCAGCAATCATCCATTTTTTACCTTCCATAGATTCTGAATCTGCTTGATGCTTTTTCGAGAATCCCATAACTAGAAACAGAATCAATGAAACTTTGGAATCTAAATCAAGTGAAGGAATCAGACTTTTGGGAGGAGATTAGAAGCCAGATAGGGAAAGGAACACAGGAATATGAGGATATACGCTCAATTTGATGCTTTGAATGGAGGCGGCAAAAGATGGAAGAGAGAGAAAGATGATGAATGTATATATATATATATATTATATGAGAAATCAGCGAATCGCTTTGGATGCTTTCTGGGTGTATAATTGGGGGCAGAATTTTGGGCTGCCCGTTAAAATTCGGGCAGGGGGCAGCATGAAATTCGAGTAAAATTTTTAGTTTTCGCGCCAATATTTGATAACGGCTCTTTTTCCCGCCATCAAGTTTTGCAGTTTGGGCTTTCTAATTGGGCTGAGCCACTAAAAGTATTTGGGCCCATTAGTACTCCATCGAATCTATCGTACGTCATTTCGAATATAAAACAAAAAGTAAATTATAATTTTAGTTTATCTGGTTTAAAGGCTGTTTGGTAGTTATTGAATGATTTGGGGCAAAATGATTAAGTTGTCAGGATGATTAAGAGGCTCTCATGATAGTACAAAATGAAATATAATTGTTTGGTAATTATTCCCAATGAAATTAGAGCACTGAATTGTTAAGGGATACCTTTATCCAAATCATTCAAAGAATTATAGAACATTAAGAGACAAAAAGTTTTTTTTTTGTTAAAACAAGATTCACCTCTTAACAATTCAGAAGTTGCATGTTAATGGAACTATTAAGATGTAAACAAACAACTTAGGGGTTGTTTGGCAGTTACTGAATGGTTTGGTACAGAATAATTAGGTGGTCAGAATGATTAAGAGGCTCTCATGATGTGCAAAATGAAATATAATTTAATAATTGTTTACAATGAAATTAAGGCGCTGAATGGTTAAGGGAAACCCATGATGCAAAATCATTCAGAGAATTTTAGAACCATTAAGAGATAGATTTTTTTTGCCAAACAAGATTCACCATTTAACGATTCAGAGACTATTTCTTAATGAAACTATTAAAAGGTAAACAAATAACTTAGTCTATGATTACGATTTTTGTCTCCTGTGGTTTATAATTTTTTATTATTTTCATCCTTATCATTTAAATCTTCTTGTTGTTTTTGTTATTATGGTTTACTGTTCATTTCTATTTTAGTCCATCGTATTTAAAACGAAAATCGATATTTGTTGCAAACTGTAGGCACAAAAACGTAAATTCAAAACAACAAGGACAAAGTTTGCAACTTTTAACAAATCATAGTGACGAAAAACGTAATTTAGTCAAAACTAGAAGTAAATTACGATTTCCGTCCATGTAGGATTAACATTTCTATTCTCGTCCATATGGTTTAAAAATCACAATTTTCATTCATATAGTTTGTAATTTATCGTTATTTTCGTTCATAGACTGATTTTCTACCTATAAGTACAAGGCACCAGAACAACCAAGAAGTGTAAGTCATAGGAACTGAAACTATAATAAATTGTAATTATAATAACAAAAATAGCAATTAATTACAAAACATACGAACAAAAACTGTAATTTATAAACCATATGGACAAAAATCGAAATTATTAACAGATCACATGGATTAAAGCTAATAGTTCTAAATTTTCTCATGTTTTTTTTTTTTTGGTGAATATCACTTGCATCTCTCTTCCAAACAAGGTATAAATATTTCATTGAAATATGACCTTTTTTACTCTAATTTATACGTTTTTTCTATCAGTAATTATTAGAACAGCTGATAACATCGATTTTGAACACAGAGGGTTTTCAAATTTATCTTAGAGTATTACATGTTTCGGCCTCTGGTTATATGTTTTCAACAGTCTTTGTTTCTTTTTGAAAATTCAACTGATCGTATCCATGTGGTTGCATTAAGAACTCAACTCATTATAAAAATGCAACCATATAGACACGATCTGTTGAAATTTTAAAAAGCGAAAATGACCGTAAAAAACATATGCATTTTTGCAATGAGTTGAGTTCTTAAAAAGTATAATTTTTTTTATGTATGAAAGATGCACCTAAACCTTGAGGGATGCTTCGGAGTATTAGAAAATACTAGGAACATCAACAAAAAAAAACTTAAAAACTCTTTGAGACGATGGAATTCAGCTAAAAACACATCAAACTACTGTACCGACCTTTAATCCACTTTAAAGGTGCACCCGCTGGATAAAAATTATGAGTCCATCACTGTCTGGTACGTCTTGAGATGATATATATTTGCACAAATACACGAGGGTTTGAGTTTGATAGAGGTAGTGTAGAGTTATAATGCCTTAGGAGTCTTTATGGACTAGGGAAGGACTAAGAAATTTTTAAACAGTGGCGCCATTTGACTATAAGAAAAAAATATAAGAAATCTTTTTTCAAATCGTGACACCATTTGACTATAAGAAACAAATATACATAATTTTTTTTCAAATGATGGTATCATTTGACTAAGAAAATGACACTAACACGATTCAAACTTAGGTCTTGAGTGGAACAAAAGTCTTGCAAACCAACTCTACCAAGTAAAACTTGTTCTCATTGTGATTTTAAAATACATACAATAAATTAATACAGTTGCACCTTTCATGAACCTAATCTTTTTTACCCTTCGATAGAGAAATAATACGGTGCCACGTGCCACCATGACCACTATATTAAGTCCGTCCCTGTTATAAACACTAGGCTATTAATCAACAACATAATGGGTCATTATTGTAACTGTTACGTCTCTCTCACACGATGCTTTTGAGACAAGAAAATGAGGACGATTCGATAGTTGTTGATTACAAACCATTTTGCACAAACACGTTATAACAAATAAATTTATAAGTAATTTTGGGTTTCGATAAATCATAAATATAATTATTATTAAAACAAGGATCCAAAAAGGGGGTCATATGGCATGTGAATTGGTTGGGTTGTTTAAACCAAGGAGCATGGAGAGGCTATGGGATGTTAGTATCCAAATGGTAACATGTGGATCCTTTGCCTATCTCCATCACATGCATGGTTTTTGTCTTCTTATACGATCATCAACCAAAGGCTAGTTTAAATACACAGACAGAGCACATAGGTGGCTTTACCATTTAGCTTAGGGAAATTGACAAAAATAGTTAATGGAGTTGTTTGTTTACCTCTTAATAGTTTCATTAAGAGATAATATTTGAATATTTAAGAGGTGAATTTTGTTTGACAAAAAAAAAAGCCAGTCTCTTAATGGTTCCAAAACCTTCTGAATGATTTTGTATCATGTGCCTCTCTTAACCATTCAACACCATAATTTAATGGTAAACAATTACCGAATAATTATATTTCATTTTACACTATATCATGAGAGTCTCTCAATCATTCTGACAACTTAATTATTTTGTACCAAATCATTTAACAATTGTCAAATAACCCCTAAATCAAGTCGTTTATAGTCATTTTAGGACCGAATTTCACTTTATAGGCAATCTTGTTGATCTACATGAGCTGCAGAAAGAGAAAAACGCACTTCTTTTGTAGCTTGCATATGGTCATTAGCTGACGAACATACAAGCGTTATATACCAAAAAAGCAAGCTACAAGAACCAAAAAGACTAAGGGGTTGTTTGTTTATCTCTTAATAATTTCCTTATGAGACAACGTCTAAATCGTTAAGAGGTGAATCTTGTTTGAAAAAAAAAAATCTACGTCTTAATAGTTTTAAAACTCTCTGTATCCTGAATCTCTCTTAACCATTAAACTCCCTAATTTCATTGTAAACAATTATCAAACAATTATATTTCATTTTTCATTATATCATGAGAGTCTCTTAATCATTCTACACCAAATCATTCAGCAACTGTCAAACAACCCCTAAGACATCCATGACGTCCAAGTGCGCATTTATTGTCGTAATAATGAAGAACATGAAATAAAGTTGAAAACTACAATTCACAGTTGCTTCTTAGCTCTACAAAGAGAGTATATGTGTGACTTTCAGTCATAAGTGAGTGAAGATATTGATGATCCTACTAAATCATATTCGATTCATACATAAAACTTAGAGTAGATTTAGCTAATGATCTATAGAGACAGGGAGACGAGTAATTTGGGTTCGAGCAAAGACGAAGCTGAGGGCAGTGTTCGGGCGTGGGGTAGAGAGAAGAGAGGGAGGAGATCGACGGTTGGCTATTCTAAATAGGCATGAGAATGGCACGGGGACCTCAAATCTCAATCCCCATCCCCGATGACTTATCTCTATCCCCGTCTCCGTCTCATCCCTGCCGGGGAATATAATCACATCCTCATCCCAACGGGGAAACAAAATTTTTTTTCCCCGTTTATGTAAGTTATTTTAAATGAAATATGTGAGAGACCATACATGTTTTAATCTCAAACATTTTCAATAAACCTAAAACCAAAATAAATTTAATTTAATACAAAAAAAACTACAACATCATATAATTAATAATGTAAAACCAAAAAAAAAAATCAATTTAATCCAAAAAAAACCTAAAGTCACATGTACCAAAATATATTAAGTAATATAAAACCATATCGAGTAATACACAAAACTTATCGAATAATTGTATTTTGACTTAACATCCAAAATATTACCTATAAATGTCCAAAAAATAACAATTTTAGATTATAAACCTAGTTAGTAAATAGAAAATTATAAATTACCGCTATTAGTTGAAATAAATAATATACATATACAAATATATAATTTATTAATTAATATATATACGGATAAGGGGCGGAGCGGTGAGTACGATACCCATCCCTGGTTTGAGATAAACGGGGATCCCCATCCTCGTCTCCGACCGGGGTGGATGAACCGGGTTCCCGACGAATCGGGGTCCATTCCTGCCTAATTCCAAGGCTGATAAACACAAGGGTAAGAGCAATAATGGTATATTTTGGCTCCAATGGTGAAGGGGGAAGCGATAACAATACCTAAACCTAAAGACTAACATACCTAACATTCATATTGGTAATGATACCTAATTCCTAA